ATTAAATCAGAGCTTGCCATTTGTTCGAAATTATTAAGTTTTGGTGATAGCCCAGCAATGAAAATCCACGGAAAATGGAACGATACAAGTGACACAAATCGATGCACTTTTGGTGCATAGGTATGACGATTGTGTTTATATAACAGTTCAAAATATTTTAAATATTTTCATGTAATAAAGTTATTATAAGTTGCAATTTTATATAAAAATTTTAAATACAATTTTAAATAATTTTTACTTAAGTATTTCAGTTATATGAAAAAATAGATAATTTTTAGTTAGAGGGTAATAAATGGGGTTAGAGGGTAATAAAAGATTATTATGTTTAGATTAGCAGTTGATATAGCAGTATTAGCATGTAGCAAGGAGGAGTTTGAGATAGCTTTAAATAAAATGGAAGCGGTATTGACAAAACAGTATAAAAATGTATGAAAATAAATAAAAGAAAAACAAAAATACTGATATGCAAGGGACGAAAAAGTAGGGAAAGAGCGAATATTAAGATAGGAGACGAAATATCAGAAGAAGTGGCTGATTTTAGGTGTCTACGAAGTTAGATAAGTCAGGACGGAAGGAGTAGTATAAAGCAGAGTGAAGGGTCGAGTCGTCTTTAATAAAAAGAAGTCACTTCTATACTCGCGAATGGTTAATTTAGAAATTCGAAAAAGGTTGTTAATGGTGTATGTTTGGAGCACGGCACTGTACGGGTGCAAAACATGGAAGGTGGGCGCGGCGGAAAAAAAGGTTAGAAGCGTTAGCAATATGGTGTTACCTGCGAATGATGAGGATACCGTGGATAGAGAAGGTTAGAAATGAAAGAGTATTAGAAGAATATGAGAACAGAGATAGGTTGGTAGGACACCTTCTCAGGCATGAAAGTCTGGTCAGAGACATATTAGAGGCAGAAACAGTTAAGAGGAGTAGAGGTAGACCTAGATTAGATTACTGTTCACAAATAGTTAAGGATGTGAGATGTTCTAGTTTTAGGGAAATGGGGAGACTAGCTCAGGATAGAAAAAGGGGTGGTGCTTGTCCAACTGGTCTTACGACTGACCTTATGATGATGATGAGAGGGTAATGGATATTGTTGGGTTGCCTACATGTGACAGTAAGATGGGTTGCGTACACGGGACATTGTTCCATTCCTAAAACTGATCGTCCGAGGAACCTCCTGAATTCGATAGGCAACTTTATTGATGTGTCGAGTAACTAAACGGTATAGTCACCATCCCTTCTAGTCGTTATTGTAGATCGCCCGCGTATTCGCGAGTGGGTAGTGGAGATTCTCTAGGACGACCAATCATCATGTGCTCTGGCAACCTGAGTTTTTCCTAAATAAAATATTTACCGGTGTTCTTCCGGTTGTCTCAAAGGTGACTTCTACGTTACTTGTGCAACCATCTTTCTTGCGGACCAGCACTATAAAGGAAGCCTTAGAACTTTGAGATGTTCCGATCACCCCTTGTTTATGCATGCTCTTTATAAGATTTTTGACTGCTACTTGCTTCACCCAAGGAACTTTTCTAGGTGGTTGTTTGATAAGCCTTGCTGTTTCAGTGTTGATGCGGTGGTATGTTAAGTTGGTCTTGATCTGAGAGGGCAAAGACGTGTTGAAAACAGCTTGACCGTTTCACCAGTTCTGTTAAAGTTGTGATGGATTTCAGCTGTTGGTTCAAATGCTCCCAACTCTGCAGATCTTTTGTTCGAAGTCTTTTACATACTGACTATTCTAATAGGTATCAGATGATGTTCCATTTCTTACGAGCGTACGGCCCACCAATAATGGTTTCATTGTCGAGTTTTAATTTTCCTGTTTGACTACCCTCACCAATCCGCTGTTATTGTCATCTATGCTGACTTATTCGATTTTTCTCTATAATGACCTTATAAGTGGCAAGCTTCGACTTGAGATTTGACATTACTATCTCCTGTCCATTGATGCGCATTGTAGAAGTGCTAATGCTTAAGTCGATTCCAAGAAGAAGTAGAGCCAATCCAATGATTACATTATCTACTATAAATTCACATGATTTTCTTAATGATCGGGTTTTGTAAAGCATCATCTGCTATATTTGCCGTCAATACCCAATTGTATAAGATCACGTTTCCAATTTTGATTTCTATATTGTATTGAATTCCCCATTCCGATACCACATCAGGTCGAATGATAGTGTTCGGGAGCTTATTGGGATGAGCCATTTTGCGTCCCGTATAGTTGACTGATCTTAGTCCTCCAACTTTTATGCTTTACTGATGTGGCAATCTTGAATTAGGTGGCCCATTCTTTCACAATTCCAGAATTTCGGATGACCACTGTACTTCTTGCAATCCCGAAAAAAGAATTTTGAGCTCTTCTATATTCCGAACATTTTGAATTTCATTCTCTTGGTCTGTAGCAGTGTCTTTGGTTGCATCTTTTATGCATTCTTTTATGAGCAACACAGTACCATCTTTTGTGATTGTGCCAACGTCGATTTCGACTTGTCGCACCTGTACATAACCCTCTGAGGCTTGTTTCGTTTGGACTCTTATGGCGTGCTAATGTAAGGATTTGCTGTAGTTAACCTTCCATGACTTCATCGATAAACGTTTATACTGCCATTTCGTCTACGAACTTTTGACGGACTAAGTGTAGGTTAATCTTACCAGGCGTCTCGTTACTTCGTTGGCTACTGGTTTTCATTTGCGTCGGGTATACGTAATTGTTATCTATAAATGTTTATCACCGTTTCTCATTTCTAATCGGTTGACAAGATGGTGGAAGTCATAATGCCGAGACTAGGGCATTCCTTGGAATATATTCAGCGTCTTTCCTCGTAAAGAAGTTATTGTTGTGGTAATTTTTTCTGAATCAGTCCATGGGTTTGCCTCTGCCGCTGCTTCGAAATGCTTCAGGTAAACGGACCACGAAATAATTCCATCAAAAGTGGAAGGAGTAAGTTTTGATGGGCTTGTATCGGGATCGTCAGCTCTCGCACTAGAGGGAAGTTATTTTTCGAGCAAGAAATTTCCTCAATCTTTTGTTCCATTTTGATTTCCCTTTCTTTTATTTTCTTTTCCATATCGATTTCCCTTTGTTGTATCTTCTGTTCTATCTTGATTTCCCTTTCTTCTATCTACATTTCCATTGTTACTCTGTATGCTGGGTTGCCTGTACGTGTCAGTATGATGGGACATTATTTATCTACATGCGTAACTTATTTTTCTGAAACTTATTAATCACAAAAATGTTGGGATATTATGTTTTTGGAATGTTGACATAACCAGTAACATTCATTATCGCATGAATATTTTCATAGTGTTAAGAAATTCATTGTTTTTTTTTTAATTAAAGTCGTTTTATATATACTTGTTATTCGTTAAAAAAAGGTCACATACATTTACCTAATGTTTTAATAATCGTGTAATACGTGCATAATTTATTTTAAAATAAGATTATGAAAGGATGTATTTTGCGGTAAATTATTTCTGACACCATATGCAAATAAAAAACTGTGATTATAAACTATGCTTTCTTAAATCTTGAAACCATTTACTAAAGCGTAATTACGATACAACAGAGACGTTGTTTTTATAAATTTTAATTGCTGCAGTTCATAAAACGACAACTGAATGCTATTATAGTATATTTAGTAGTTAATTTTTATTAGCAAATTAATCGCCAATTGTTAAGCAACTGGTGTTTTATTCGTAGTGTGCAACAGAAACAAGCAAATCAAATATACTGGTAAGCGGTTTTCACGTGCTGAGTTAATGTTTTTCGATTTGTCATAAAACAACCGGATTATTAAAAGAATATATTTTAAATAATGCATCTAATTATGTAATCATTTTTCTGTTAAAAGATTAGTTTTTTAATTTCGGCTTTTATCTCATCTTTCAATGTTACGTCATTTATTAACAACATGCTTATCAAATTCTGAGGATTAAAATTGATGCTTTAATTCAGTATTTAATTTACTGAAGATTATGTTATCAAGTTTCACGTTACGTTTCACGTTGATTTGCAGGGACAGTAGTTCACTTGGGAATAAATCACCTGTGTACTTAATAGGCACATGCAACAATTAGAATTTTATTAAATAAAAAGTTATTGGAAGTATATAAATTAATAGAAAACCAAAAAAATTGTAAAAATGACAGTGGAATTAAATGTTTTTGGTGCATGGGATTACGTCGTGTTGGTGTTAGTTCTTCTCATCTCGGCATCCATAGGAGTTTACTACAGATTAACAGGTGGAAGGCAAAAAACAAACAGGGTTTGTAACATTATTTTTTTCCCTTTTTTTTATCTATAATACTTTATTTTAAGTTGTTAAACTTTTATTTTATTACTGTTATTTTTTACCATTTATATGTAATTCCGCAAGATAATTTCAACGAATGTATTTGCGGGGTCGAATATTCTCAATCCTGTGGGATNACAGGAGTTAGGAGGAGTAGAGGTAGACCTAGATTAGATTACTGTTCACAAATAGTTAAGGATGTGGGTTGTTCTAGTTTTAGGGAAATGCGAAATTTAGCTCAGGATAGAGTGGAGGTACGTGTCCAACCAGGCTTAGGACTGACGACCTTATGATGATGATGATGATTACTTTCTACTGCATGGACCGAAAGTAATTTTATTTGATGGTCAAGGCAGAGAACACGAGGTAGAAATGCTACTGATTTCGTAATTAAAATAGCTGCTCAATGGGACCGTGGAGCTTTTCTCCTGGGAAGGAGGATTCGGCAATTTCTCCATTGCTGTTCGCTAAATCCGCCACTAATTCTTAAGTACGATAGGTTTGTTTCGTTTTTTTGGCCATTGCTCTTAGAAATTACTTCCAATTTCCAATGATAATGGTTAAAAAATTTAATAGTTTTCTCTTTTCTCGAGTACACTCTTATATTCATGAGCATTACTATCGTAGATTGAAAAGATGTCAGGTAATTTTTCAAAGGCGTACTCCAATTTCACTTAAAGATTTCCCTAGCATATTAAGTATTTTGAGATATGCGTGTTTGCTTTCTTAAATTCCTGAGAACGTTGAACTTTATTTAAAGTCCGATGCTGGCAACATGCTCAAATTCGGCTTGTCTGCATCTCTTTCTGTTACACATTAGTTAGTGTAATGTTATTCCTTTTTCTTTGTTAGTGTCCGCTGCAATTCCTACCTGACATCTCTTTTCTATGCTTACGATATTCCCTGCAATGTCTGTCGTGAGTACAAGTAGGCGTTCTATCAGCAATCGTTCTAGTGTAGTTAGTAAGCTGAAAGAAGGAAGTAAAATGCGACAGTTTTTATTGCGGGGTATGCCAATTTTGAACGTCCCAACTGTNAGATAAAGTGATAGTGGCTAAAGTCACGGATTGAGAGTGTAGCCTGATTTATTATTTATAAATATCGCGCTAAAATTTATTATACATTTAATTAAACATTATTGTACTAATTAAAATGACATATAAATCAGATACTTTCAAACTATGATCATATCAAATCACTACAACAGTTGGTTTTCCGTTTCTGAAAATCATTGGCCGTCAAATGTTTTGCAAAATTTTAATACAGTGAAACTACTTTCACAAATAAAAATAAACCCCGAAAATTGAGTTTTGTACTTCTACGCATTTTTTTGTTATTAGAAAGTAAATTAATTATAAAAAACGAGAAACATTTAAACAACAACAAATTAAATGGTCCGCATGTAAATCGGTTATCGGTCAGAGGATCAGTATATAAATTAATTAATCAGTAGGTTAATTACCAGAATATAAGGTAAAAACTACACAAGGACATGGTAAGCCCGTTTACGCATGTTGTACTCAGCAAGTTGCTGCGTAGCATATAGAAGAGATTATAGTGTATCTAATCTATGCTGCGCAGTAAGATAGTGCGCATCTGATTTGACGTGTAGCACGCGCAATTTTAGTATGTTTACTTAAATACTGAAAAGAAAATATTAAAACTAAACAGTAAAATAACAGCCTTTCAAAATTGCTTATTTTATGTATAATGCATTTAACTAAAATTCATTTTATATGTACATTCGAATATAAAAAAGAAATGGTAACACGAATAAGTTATTTCTGTGGCTCACGTACTTTTTTTATAAAATTTACAAACTTGAAAAGATTTAAAACATTAAATTAATGAAGTATAAAATTTAAAATGCTTAAAGTCTGAAGCAAACGGCTTTCTGTCCACCATTTGTCTTGCTCAATTTATTCTGAAGAGCAGTTTCAAATACTTGAAACGATTTGCTAAATTTAGCAAAAGCTAAACGCGTACTTTCGTCGTCCTCAGTGACAAACTTGAGAGCATTAAGAGCGTCGTAAATTTGTTTCAGAGGTCCATAAACGTCACTTCTTGAAAGTCTTTTACTAATTTTTTTCTCACATTCAATATTAATCCAATTAAGACCTTCAATTATTTTGTTAAATTGGTCTTCATCTGTAACATTTTCTATTTCATTTACAGGACAAGAAGTTTTCATATTATTTCTTCGATCTACAATATAAAGTGTTTTTTCTAAAGGACTTGATGAAATTTCGTAATCATATTCTTGTTTTGAGTTACACAATCCTTTTAAAGTTTTAATCCTTTGGTCTTCAACTTTGTCTAATGTTAAAATGTCTTCAAGTTCGTCAAGAAAATTGGTTTGATAGGGAGATAAGTCTACATTTGTGTTAACATTAGACAAAACCCTAACATGAGACTCTAATTCTTCTTTTTCCTTTTCGACTTCTAGTAATTCTTTCATTTGCTGCTCCTTCGTCTCCATAAATCTCTGTTCCCATTCATGCTGGGCCTTCAATAACTTTTCTTCTGTATACATCAGTTGTCGTTTTAATTTTTTAAGTTCTTGACCGGATTCTGAAGAAATAGAATCGTCGTCGATTTGTATTATACTAGAAGTGGATGAGCTGCTTCTCTCATAATCCAACCTTAAGGCTCGAAGACGTTCGACTTCTGCTCGTAATTCACGAATGAGTCGGTCGTTGGGATCTTCATTCACTCTGGCTCGATTAACAATTGATCGAGCTTGACAAGCATAGCGTAGAGTAGACAAGGTTTCGTCGGAATGGGCATTAGATGGTGATATTGTAGCCAACATCGTTGTATGCGAATTTCCTCCAAGGCTTTCCTGGAAACAATGCAAATTTCATTGAGGTGTAGTAAACTCTTTGGACATTATTGATTTTAAACATTTTACTTACTCTTAGTAACCAGGTAAGAACTGATTCCCTATAAGGTACAAACTGAACACCTTTTCGTTGTTCTGCAAGAGCTGATATAACTTTTCCAAGTGTAAGAAGAGATTTATTTATACTAACTCCTTGTTTCATTTTCTCTTCACAATTGTAACTACTTCCTAATCTTTCACTTCCAGCTAAATCCACCAAACTGACTTTACTACGCCTACTAGATTTATCCTCTTTATTTTTTTCACTAAGGCTTAATTCAATTGAAAAAATACTGTGAGATCTCGAAGACTTCTCGTTCATTACAGTGGCCGCAGTAGCCCTGTTTTTGTTACCACGCAAAAGCCATGAACGCAATTCTTCATAAGTTTGTACTACATGAACACTCAAGTTAACAACATAAGGGCCCCAAACTGGGTGTTCTCGAACTTTTAAGGCAGGACGCGCTTTACGTGGTTTGCCATTTTCGGGGGCTAATAAATCGTGGATTTTTTCGTTATATATTTCAAAATAACTGACCTCCACATTAGCAATGTGTGAAGAAGACAGTTCAGCAATTTGTAAAAATAATTGTCTGCAAAATCGTGGAATTATTCCAGCATTTTCACTGGAGTCTGCGTCATTCTCGGGTCCCATCATACTGTAGCTTTTACCACTGCCAGTTTGGCCATAAGCAAATAAACATGCATTGTAGCCTTGAAAAGCATTGGCAAGTAAAGGTCTGCCAAGAGAACTGAATACGTCTTCCTGTGAGGCATAATTTAAGCCAGTTTTATCACACGACCAAAAGACGTGATCATATTGAAACAAATGATCAGTACCCACACTAATAGCACCGACAGGGACCGATCGAATAAGCAGTTCATTTTTTTGAACTCTAACAATCATTGAAGCTCCAACATGACTCAGTTCTTTCGAATTCATAGGCCTAACACGCACGGCTACTGTTAAATTGCTTAATTCATCGTAACTGTCTTTGCTGTTTTTTCTTTTGGATGCAACAGGAGTTTCTACAGTGACAGAAGTAAAACATTCTGGTGTTTCTGCTGCTAAACGTTTGTTGATTAAACTTTTTGGAGTTGAAAGATGACTTCTTGGGGTTCCCGAAATAGATGGTAAAGCCATGAGGTTTTATTAAATAAGTATTTTATTCAAAAGTGATAAAATCTTCATAAGCTACGAATAACGACTTTTAACGTCACCATTTTTGAATTATACATAACCTCAATTATTTTACAGTTTACTAAGGAAAAGAGTTTCGATAGTGACTACATAACCGCTGACATTTTAGTAAATTAGTTACTGCAAAAGATTAATCAAAAATATCATTGAACATTACCAAAGGTTTTTTCCCTCATTAATTTGAGGTAGTTTGTATTGGGTAAATAAAAAATCGAAAAAAATGATTTCAAATTAATATTACCAAAGGTATTTGTTGGACTCATACTGTGTAATGAAATAAACAGCAAAAATTAAAAGGACACTAAAAATTATTTGCTTTTTTTTATACTTGTTTATGAAATAATTTCAATGTCTTTTGATAGGAAAAGAAATAAACCACTAAGAGTGCTCTTGTTTTTTACTTAATTTCACAAAACTGTACATCTAAATTATTTGAATGATGAGATGAGAGACAAGTGTTTTATTAAACTTAAAGCTACTGTACAAATAGGTGCTTTGAAATGAGAGTGACTCAATTTATTGTAATTATTTCTTTATCAAAAAATAGCTTTGTACTTAGTTTACACTTTCATTTCAAAATTTAAACAAAAAAAATAAATAAGAAAGAAAATTTTAAGCTTATTAATAATCTCAATACTACGACACGAGTACTTCGAAAAAAACGAAGTAAATGGTATCCCTAGAGATCTATCAAGTTTTATGTACAAATGTCCATACAGTCTGTTAAATGCGATTGTTTTTGCTTCCTTTTCCAATTTATTGATCTTATCTCTTTGTACCTTTTCTTCGACCTGTACATCGTCTGTTTGAATTTCTTCTTACAATTAAATGTGGATTGTTAAGCCAAGGAAGGCTAAATTCACTTTAAAGAAAAATAAAAAACATGTTATGAAATTGCAATGAAATGAGTTTCGAAATAAAAAGAAATCTTTATAATTATAGGTGATACTGAACTATAAAGACCATGGCTGCAGAAATTAATTTTCCTCAGGTTAAATTGAAATCCATACATAACACGTATTGACAATAACAAAACATATGGTATTTTTCAAAAATTCGTTTTTATTTTACTTTAACCAGTTTGTATAGCTATAAGCATTTTTTATAACTTGTTAAAACCTCTTCAATTTTGTAATCTTTGAAATTTCAAATTTAATTTTGATTTGTTAGGTTTATTTATTTTTTGAGTAATATTTTTAAAGTCCTCATTTTGAAAATAAAATATGCTGCTTATAGTTAGACAGTAGATGGTGTGAACCGAAAAAACCAGCAGTGGTTCACATTAAATATTTGTTCACTTTAAAGAATGTTATACTCAATATAGCAATAAAAATTTTATATCGTGTTATTAACAAAATATACATATAAATATACTAATAAAAGGTAGCAATAAATGCATACAACATATAAAATATCATTTTTTACCAACGAAATGAGAATTTTCTGTTTTTTTTTTCTGAGTTTTTATTTTTGCAAAATGATTGTTTACCTTAGCAGTCTTGTAATAATTGCTAGGTAACCAATGTCGATGTAACTATCTTCTAACGACTGGATTACAAGATTTGCAACAGTAAGCTTTTATGAGTAAAAAGCAACGATAAATATTACCTGGGGGTAAAACGAGGTAAGGGTGCTCCTAGGGCAGACACTGGGAGCTGATCACAAACCTCTAAATACTTAATGTCTTCAGGCAAGGGCCACAGTGATTGCACAGGTTCAGACTGATCCTCTCCTTTTGAACCAGAAGCCACTCGTTCTTGTCTCTGTTTCAATTTTTCCACTATCCTTTGTTCACGTATCCTTTGGACATCCCATCTGACAGGATAAAAAGGTTTTGAACAGTTTTTACATATAAGGTTTTCACTATTTTTACCGTTTTCTTCTTCTTTCATCATTTTCATGTTTGAGGTGCCGTTTATTGAATACTTCATCATCTAAATTCTCAGTTCCTTCCATTGTATAACAACTGGTGTACACTTTTACCCTCCATCTCGGAACCTGAAGTTAGTAAATAAAACATAAATTATTAAAAAAAAAAAAAACATTTTGGAAACTTACTTCTAAATTTGTTGGCCGAGTAAATTCATTATATACATCTGGCTCAGTTAAGGGTATATTTACTTCTCCAGTCTGTGTTAGATACTGTTCATTACACATTAGAAGCTTATCGTTTTTGAGAGAACCTAATAACAACAAAAAAAAGTAAAAAGGAAAATCCTTTAAATTTGAATATGAAAATATTTACATTTTCTTTTTTTTCTTAATTTTCTTGTTAGGTTTTTCTCTTCTAGGGAATCATTATTTGATAAAATGGAAGAGTTGCTACATAATCTTTTCCTTCGGATACTCATTCGTATGTTCTTTAGTGAAACATCAACTGAGGTGGCTGCTGGTATGTTATCTGTACACTTATTATTTTCTGTTAAATTATTTAATAGGGCACTACAATCAGAGCTGTTGAAGTTGTCTTTTTGTGCTTTTTCATCAACTTGAGTGCTATCACTGTTATTTACTGGCACTAAAAAAAAGTAATGCAATTGACTGAGGAGAATTATACATTGTCAAAATATATTTACATTTCTTCTATTCCTGAGTAAGTTACAATTCTTTTTATGAAAGATAAAATGAAAATGGCAAGGAGAAAAAAATATTAAGTTGATGTGAACTTACAATTGTAGTAAGTGGTACATGAGTTCACATTAGATGAAGAATTTTCTTCAGGTTTATGATCTTCGGGATAATCAGCCTTTTCTACAGTTATAGAATTTGTTTCAGTAGAGAGCGAAAGTAAGGGAATTTCCTCTTTTTCTTCCCTAACAATATGGGAAACTTCCGTTATCTTAAAGTCAGTATTCGTAATAAACTTATCCAAATTAGACTCTGTTGTTCTTTGAGAATGGGAGGAGATCCCTTTTTGAAAGCTGTTTAGGCGTTCTTTAAGCTAAAATGACGTTAATTAATTACAATGTTTTATTCTTCAAATAAAACATACCATTTCATTTTCTTGTTTAAGCATTGAAATTGTCTTTTCCTTGCTTAGAATTTCGTCATTTTGCTGTTGAATTAAATCCAAGTGCAACAACAACCATTCTCTTAAAAATTTAACCTCACTTTCGGCGTTTTGACAGTTTGAACTTGAAAGGTTGGGCAGAACGGTCCCAGAATTTGATGCATATCCATGATCATAACTACTATTTAAGTCAATTTCTTTATCGCTGGCTCCTATATTATTAATAAAATGTAAATTTTCAACATCAGATACTATCGGATTAATATTTCGGCCAGAACAACCTTCGGACATCTTCGTATAAATTCGATCTATGTTTTGGTCATGTTCGGATTCGAGAAGGATTAGCATTGTACAAAATTTATAACAATAAAATTTAATGCATTACCATTAGACTTCATTTTAAATAGTTAAACGATTTGATTTATTTTACTGTCCATTTATGGTTATCTCTTTGATTAGTAGTTGGAGAATCACATCAGTACCACTATATAATACACTACACTGCTAGTCTCTAGCTACTTATAATAATAATTAAAACAATCGTTTAGAATTTGCGGTTCTTACAAATCTTATACAATTTTATGTCTGTTACACTAAACGCTTTAGCTAGCCCTTGTTTACTGGAGTTAATAACACCATTAAATCAATTTATAGGTTATGTTTATAACTCGATATTTGTCAATTGAGAAGCCACTAAAATGAAATTGATTGTCACTTCGAAAACAACAAATTTAAATTTTGCTCCTTATCTTCTTCATATTAGACCATGTTGTACATCAACAAATTTAAAAGAAATCACTGTTAACAAAATCCGAAATCTGAACATACACAAAACCTATCACATTTTGATGGAGTTGATTTCCGGTATTAAACACAGCGGCAATTTCAAAAAAATAAAAGGCACTAATACGTAAATTTAAATATTTTATTTTTGATGTCCTCGACCTTTAATCTCGTTATATTTGTTGCAAGAGGCACAACGCTTATTATATAATACTTATTTCCATTATTCGAAAAAAATCACCAACCAATCTATTTTCGTTTTATTTATAAAAGAATGTATAATAAAAGTGCAAATCTCAAAAGCAGCGGCCCAGTTTGAAGTAATTTATACCTGATAATGACTAAAAACTTAGTGTAAAACATTGAATACCACTATTAGATGCGTACTACTAAATTGCTACTTACATGTACCTAATTTATAGTTTGATAGTGAGTTTATTACACGATAAATTTGTGAGTTCTAACCTTTTTTAAACCGAAACAGGTAACGTATTTTAAAACATTACGTATATTATTTATTTGCTGTCATACTTTAATTCACCTTTGTAATCATATATTATTTTATATACATTTTATTATATTAAAATATAACTTGCCATTTATTCGAAATTTTTATAAGCAGTCTTGTAATAATTG